TTTGATTTTTAGATGCATACTGCAATTCAAGATGTTTTTTGTACACATTGTGATAAGAGTTCCTGGACGCATACATGGTGCGGGTGAGGGCCAATGCTCCAGTAGCCTGTTCCACAATCTGGTCCTTCAAGCTCCCCACCCCCTGCCAGTAACCTCTCACCCCTGATCTACACGCAAGCCCCCAAACTCACTGGTTCCTCAGGATAAATTTTGGTGTAGTTGTTTGTTGTTGGGGCCTTATAAGGATGGGGTGGATATTGTTTACATCTCCCCAGAGGAAGAATTCTTCCCATATTTGTCAAATGCCACTTTGATCCTGACTGTTTGTGTATTTCTGTCCCCACCCAGCCATGCCCAACTGTCTGGTCTACAAAGCCTTGACTCTGGAAGTCTGGGAACAGGGAACAAGACAGAGCCGGCTGAGCTCCCACAGGGAAGTCCAGGCGGATGGGAGTTTGCTTGGAGATTTCTGTTTAAATGACAAACGTGTGAGAGACCTATTTACTGTCTACAGCAGGAATGTGAGGGACAAGGCATGGGCCCTTCACTGATGTGACTCCCGGGGAGGGGGTTGGATGGGGTGGGGTGAGGCGTGATCTCTAAGAGGAATAAGCTAAAACAGGCTCGAAACATTTCAAACAAAATGTAAAAGCATTTTGGCCCCAACCGGGATATTAACCCCATGGCATTTCCCGGCAGCTTCTGGGGCACTAGGTGCAACATTCCTCAAGCATGTCAGGCAGGCAAGAGTCAGAAGTCTGGGAGTCAGAATTGGGAAGACTCAGACCAGGATGGGCAGAGTGCAGAGTGGCTTCTAAGACCAAAATCTTGCCTTCATGCGGGGATGAACTCTCACAGGGCAAGGTGGATGCTGAAATAGTCAGATCTGCAGGAGCTAAGCACCTTGTCCAGTTCTAACTCTCAGAATTGCCCAGCTCAGAGGCGGGGGCTAAGCAGCTGCTCAGGAAGTGGGGCGGGGCCAAGGCAGAAGGCTGGTTCTGTTTTACCTGATGGGGCGTCTTCTCTGCTGAGTTTTTCTACACTTTGTCCTGTGATCTAGGTCTCCGTCTCAAACAAGCAACAGTGGTTGCAACAGTTTCCAGGACAACAATAATAATGTGTTACAGACAGAAGGGCTCAGACAGCAGGGCTGTTCCTCATCTGTCTCAACCACAACTGCAAGATCAAGGTCCTGGCAGAGCCTTACTCCCAGTAAGGGTGTAGGAGAGGGTCTTCCTGAGCCCCACCCCTACCTTCTGAGGATCTGTCCCAGCTCCACCCCTGCCTTCTGAGGGTCTGCCCCCAGCCACACTCCTGCCTTCTGAGGGTATTCACCAGCCTCACCCCTGCCATATGAGGGTCTTCCTGAGCCCCACCCCTATCTTCTTAGGGTCTGCCCCAGCTCCACCCCTGCCTTCTGAGGGTCTGCCCCCAGCCACACCCCTGCCTTCTGAGATCTGTCATGGCCTTCTCCTGCATTCTATGTCCTTGTTTTTTAGCATTGAGACTCCAATATTTATGTGGTGGTCTCCCTGTATGTGTCTGTGTCAAAAATATCTTCTTTTTGTAAAGACATAATGAATTTGTGGGCTCAATCCACTCCAGTATAACCCAGTCCTAGCTTAACTAACAATACCTACAATAACCTGTCTTCAGATGAGGTCACATTGGGAGGGACTGGAGATTTTGGCACCTGAGAAGGAGTCATGTCCCAAGTGACAGGCTACTGAGTCTCCATTGAGATTAGTGTGGTCCCCAGCAACACCTGTTAAGATGACCAGTTAACACCACTACTCCCTAAGAAGAAAGTGGGGGTCAGTAAAACTGGACAACTGGCCTCAAAGTTACCCAGGTTGTAACCAGTAACAGGGCCGGGAGACCACTGAGACCAAATAATCCCTTCCCGCACCCTGTTACCCTCGCCTTTACACTCTGCGTACATTAGATCTAGAATCTCACACCATGACCACAGAGAACACAGACCGTGACGTGAAAATGACAGGACCCCTGGGAAGTTTGGAAATCCTTACAGATTTGTATTTAATTCAACACAGCATAGTCCCAAACCGCGCTGCCATGAACAAGACCAGATTGCTGTGGATTGTGAGCCCGACTTTTAAAAGCAGAGTCCCTGCCTAATAGGAGAGGAGTTCAGCCAATCACATTCTGTCCATGGGGCGTGTTGCCCTAAGGCAAAAATTTACCTATAAACCTGGCAGGTGCACTTCCCTGCCCTCTCTCGCTTGGCTTCTGCGTTCCAGACAGATCGTTGGGATTCTGGTGTAAGTTTTCCTTCTGTTTATTAAAGCTGTATCTTTTGTATTAAGCTAGTCTGGCTGATCTTTAATTACCAATCGACCTCGCCTCTTCATTTGGCGCCTGAACGTGCGGGTCCGTTCCCCCCACCTCCTTCTACACCTGCCTCTTACCAGAGGCCGAGCTGCTCCCCATGACTCTGGATCCACGCAGCCCCAGCTCCCCAGTCCTCTGCCCACACTATAGTGGCCGGGGATCCTTGTGGGTGGATGACACTCCCTGGAAGCTCACTCTTCTGAACAACATAGTTGAAGCGCAGAGAACCAGCCTAGAAAAGCCAGCTGTTCTGCAAGATGGTAAATTTTTACAGCTACCAAGCTGCTGAGTGATGGCCGCTGCCAAAACTAACCATAGATCAAAAGAACAAGAGTGTCTTTCCGGCTTGGTGTTATTATACCTCAGAGCCATTTTAGTAGACTGTCAAAAATCTCAGTAAAGGGAGTGGAAAAAATAAGCCAGGTGCCCTTTTATTGATAGGAAATTACCCTGAAGGGTCAGATGAAGTTGTCTGAGTGGCCCTGAAAAGCAGGTCACACACACTTTGGGAAGAGCAGAGGGCTTGCTGAATGTTGAGTTTGGGGGAGGAGAAGGAGTTGCCATAGGCTTTGATTTCTGTTTCCATGACAACCCTTTCTTGCAGGGTTAAAGTAGCGTGTTGTTATTTTAACATGCAGCTTACACCAACTCAAAGGCAACAGATTATGGTTTGGATATCCAGGGGTCCAGAGCAGGTCTCAGTGGACAAAACCCACAGTGGAGACCCTGGGGAGGAAAAGACTGGCTTTTCCAGTTCCCAGAAGCTTCCCGGGGTTCTGCACCCCCACTCCAGGCAACAGCGGTGCCCCTTATGCCTCACATCCTGACCTCTGACCTTTTGTCACTTCAAAGGTCCATTGCCTGCCCAGATAAGCCCAGGGAACTGCCACAACTCAACTCCTCACTTCCACCTGTGATATTCCCTCTGACACCATCTCACGGCCTGCGGATCTTTGGGACCCATTAATTTTGCCTGCCACAGATGGCAAGGGTTAAAAGTTGATTTTATAAGTGTGCAAATCCATTCAGAGGTGTATGGTAGTTTCCCTAAGCACAGCCCGCTGGTAAGTAGATGTTCCCGATGGGATGTAGAGTTGTCTAGTTCTGAAGCTTAAACACAAACACACACACACACACACACACACACACACACACACACACACACACGGACGGACGGTGTCCCTGCTATGCTCTTCTCTGCCAGGACACAAGGACATGTATCACAGCCTCACTTAAGCTGACAGGGTGTGACTTAACCTGCCCACATAGAATGGAGGCTGAGCATGCACCATCCTCCAGCCCTGTCAGTCACTTAACGTCATCTGTTTACTCCCCAGCCCATGTCGGTGAGGCAGGATCGTGTCCTTATAGAAATGGAGAAGCTGAACCACAGGGACGTCACACAACTTGCTTAGAGAGTCACCTGTCTCAGGAGAAGCAGAGCTGGCATGGGAACTCAGACCATCTGTGTTCTGAGTAGAGATGCCAAAATCCCCACCCCACAGGTAGAGGCTAAGAAAGGAAATGGAACACAGGCTTTGGAGGGCTGATACAGCCTTCATCACCAAAGCAAATTCTCATATATACTGGTTCCATGTTGCACCCCATTAAAGCTGTCAAACCAATAGTAGGAGGGTCAGTCTGCGCCAGCCACCGTTAGCAAAGCAGCACCCAGTGGGATGCAGACAGGGCCACTGCCTCCTAGGAACAGAGGAAGCTGCACACAGTGTAAAGGCGAGCGGGCATTTTCCCAGGCCATCCAAACAGCCTTCATTCTTTTAATGAAGGGCATCTCTTCATTCTTTTAAGTTTTCCTGGGTTTTTACAAATGTACCTCCTTAAGTTGGTGTTGGTTTCTGATAACAACCCTCTCTCCCCCAAAAAGAACCCAAACTCCAAGCCCACTTCTGCTTCCTCTGCCGTTTCCACCCCAGGCTGACTGAGTTCTGTTGATCAAAGTCAGAATTAGTAGTGGGATTGGAGCAGCCTACAGCTAGAGATGGTTTTGGTGACGTCCACAGGTGGTAGAGCACTGAGACGTTTTCCCCTTTAACAAAAAGCAGATCGGATCCTTCTTAAGAAGTAGCTTGTTAGAACACTCTGGGAAGGCAAAGAGAAAAACTGAGTCTACCGGAAAGTGGGCAGTGGGATGGGGAAGCAGCCTGTTTGTGCTGACATCACCCTTGTCACGGAGATCAGTAGGGGAGACTGAAGACCTGAGCATCTCCTTTGAGGTCAGAACCCACACTCTGCCACGTCAGAGATGTTGGTGCATCCCACTTTCATTTCTGAAGCCCCCTAGGGGCACTGTGTGCCTACAGAGTGAAGCACCGACCACACTCCTATGAGAACACAAATGTGAGCACTTCCTCCAGAGAGAAGCAGCTACGGCTCAGAGAAGCTGAGCACACTGCCCAGCATCACACAGCCAGAGCTAGGATTTGGTTTGTTTTCCTTGGAGACACAAGGAAAGGAGATATATTGAGAAAGAGCCTATCTGGGTGAAGACTCATGGAGTCTGAACTGCTCGCCAATCTAGACAGAGTCCTGTGACGGCCCACCCTCATGAGACAAACCCTGATAGTTTCCCTGGGTGTCTGTGTGTCATTGAGCCCCTGAGGCATTCTCAGGAGCCCTCAGTGACTTACAGAGAAGATGGCAGCGAGGGTCTCAGTTCCGCCAGTGCTCAGCGTGATGTATGGGATCTTGTCCTGAGAGATCCCAGCTTCCCCAAAGATGCTACTGGTATAAAACCAGATCTGTAATACAGAAAAGAAAAGACATGTCATCCAGAGACCTCAGCCTTGTCCCTAAGTTAGAATAAGGTGTGAAGATCTCTCTACACAGTGCCATTGAGTCCAGACTCACAGCTGAGCTGTGCCATGTGGCCATGTGGCTTCCCCTCTTCTTCACTAAAAGACTTCCGTGCTCCTGGGAGTGATGTCTGCCCACCCGAGATATTACTTCCTAGACTGCCTTGCAGTTAGGGGGGTAGCAACAGACATATTGATGGGACTGGCAGGAGGCTTCTTATTCGACTTACATTTCTTCACATGGACCAGTGTGTGTGTGTCGGGGGAGGGGAGGTCAGAAGAAAAGTTGTAGGAGTCTCTTTCCACCATATGGATTCCAGGGATTGAACCCACACTTGGTATGTATTTTCCTGTAGAAACTTTCTTCAGCTCTGCGTCATCTCAACTCAGAATCTCTCACCTGCTCCTCTAGCTTTCACGACCCCTCTCTTTTCTAGTTTCCTTTCTCTGTGCAGTAGCACGGCCGTGGACATTCTCAGCAGGTTGGAAGTCAGTGGTAAGAGTCACCGTGTATGGTATTCTGTGTTCACTGTAATGTGGCCATGGAGAGGGCTAAGCGATCTTTGAAGGCATTTAGACATCGCTAGACAGGAGCTGCCCTTCACCCCTGCCCCGGCCCCAGCCTGGAGCCTGTGAAGTCTGCAGGTCTAAACTGCCCTATTCTGCCGGATCCATGAAGCACCCTGCCCCTACACATCATTCCAAGGAAGGGGAAGTAACTGCCTTCGCTTTGACCTCTGTGTGAACTGAAGGTGATAGGATTTGACAGTTTCAGGCCCTTGTGACATGAGGGACGAAGTACTTAGAACACTCAGAGTCACAGAGCCATGGAGCCAGGACTGCCCCCATCTCACAAAGCCAGCGTGAGCAGCTGCACCCAACTCCCATTTTGCAGGTTGCCCCAAGTTCCCTCCTGCCCTGGTTCTAACATGCTGAAGCATCCAGCAAAGGCCTTCATATAACAAACAGCACCTTCCAGATGGTTCTGTCTCCTCGTGGAGATACGCAGACACCTCTGTAGTCGGTCTGCCTAGGGGGCATCTGTGAGGCCATTCTTCTTGGTGATGCATCTCTGAGGAGTCCCAACAGGGGCAGGGCTGAAGTCTTTCTGAGTCTTCATGTCAATGTTCAGATGCCTCCCTCTTAGCTCCCGGTGAGTGTTTTGATGAGGCAGTATGCTAGGCAATCATTCTAGCCCATCATGGCTGAGAGAGGGCTGAGGAGAACACAAGTGCCACACCCCACAATGACACTGGAGTGGAGAGGTACCCGCTGGGAACCCACTCTCGAGGCTGTAAGCACAGTGGCCATGGGCTAAGAGATGCTGACTGAACTTTGCCAACATATGCCGATGGCTGCCTCCTCTCTGCCCAGGGTATGAGTGACCTTTCCGGTGGTGATCAAGCAGCTGACTAGAAGTAACTTAGGCAGGTTGTTTTTTATTTGTTTTGGCTCTTTGTTTGTCTATCGGGCTGGGATTCATGGAGGTGAGACTCCTCACAGTTTCGCAGACCAAAAAGTAGCAAATGGGAACCTGGGCGGTGACCCGAGACCTGTCCCACAAGGACATACTTCTTCACACCATTTCCGTCTTCTAAGCTGTCCACAGAATCCCCGAACAGCCACCCCCTGGGGACCAAGTATGCTAACACATGACCCTGTGGAGGACAGACAGTTCACATTCAAAATACCGCACCCAGAGCAAGACAATGGACACGCTTGCTGGACATGGTAATCAGCACCATGCTCTGGGAATCTCACTTTACATGGCAAAGCTAACTCTCAACATGGGCAGGCCCTTGAGGCGGCAGATTTCTTGGGTTGCCTGAGAGAGCTGCAGATGCCATCGCTCCTTACAGAGCAGAAATAGGGAGGCAGAGCTGCTCAGAGATGTAGGGGTGGGAGAGGAGGGAGAGAAAGTCAAACATACTCCATTGCTGCTGGCTCTGAAGGTGGAGGAAGGAGGCCACAAGCCAAGCAAAGGGGGCAGCTCTGTGAAGGCTGAGAAAACGGAGGAGTGGATCGTCTCCTGGTGCGTCCAGGAGGAGGGTGGCCTGATTTGATTTGAGGACCTCTGACCTCCGGAGCTGTCTGGTGACAAGTGGTTTGAAGCCTCTGGTTAGCGCCGTGATTCATTTTGTCCAACAGTGACAGGAAATGGATGCACTGGAAGGACGTAGTCAATCTATATTATGCTTTTCCAGGAATGCGTTCTTTCCGCAGATCATGATCTATGGCTCTATTATGAGACCTAGCATGAAAAACTTGCTCATTTACTAAACATCTTCCGGGTACTCGCCTAGGCTTCACCCCTGCTGGGCAGAACCTTACTTGCTTCTTCTCTGTGTGTCCTGCTCAGGTCCCTAACCAGTTAAAAACATGGGTGCTTTTCCCTGCCTCTATTCTTGTTCTATCAACAGCTTTGCCGTGTAACACCAGGTTAAGGCCTCAGGCCAGGATGTACATAGACTAAGGGTTCCTTGGTACTAAACCAGCTAAAGCAGGCAGTGTTGGAAAATGGCCATGCACAGAACAAACACAAGAAGGAATTGTTATCAGGTTGAAGCCCTGACCTATAAAATGCCTTTGGTGAATGTCCTGAATCAACTCAGATATTAGATAGTTTGCCACAGTTGTGGTGTGTGTGTGTGTGTGTGTGTGTGTGTGTGTGTGTGTGTGTGTAGTGTAGATCTGAGGTCAACCTCAGGCATCATTCCAGGTATTTCCATCATGATCTTCGAGGCAGGGTCTCTCTGTAGCTTGGGCTTCCTGATTGCTAGGTGACTGGTCAATGAGTCCCAGGATCCACTTCTCTGTCTCCCAGGGCTGGGATTACAGACATGCGCCATCAAGTTGGCCTTTTTAATGTAGGCCCTGGAGATGGACACCAGGTCCTCATGCACACAGTAAGCACTTTACCCATGGGGCCATCTCCCTATCTCTTAGCTCCTTCGTAGAGAATTCCTTCCTATTGAGAGGAGGAGGGGAGGGGAAAGTCAAGAGAGAGGAGGAACAAAAGCATCAAGGCCCTTGAGCTCCACTTGCTCTTATTATAAAAATAGCCGATCGTAGAGGCAGATACCAAGTTATGATGCGAATGGCTGCTCAGGGTACTCTGCAGATTGACAGTAAATTCCCAACCCTTCTACCTTGGCCTCCAGAGTTTCCAGATCCTTGGACCCCACCAGACCAGCTCCCCTTTGTGGGAACTTTTAGTCACTTCCACTGAAAACTCCGAGTCTTGACTCAAGCCTGTCTGATTGGTAACTGAAAGGGGACAGATGGCCGGTCTGCCCAACAGGGCAAAGGAATTTAGGGGTAGCTAAAGGCTGCTAACGCAGTGTCCGCACATTCTAGAGAACACGGCAGCCGACAGGGACGCTGGCATCCATGGCCAGAGCAATCCATAAGGTCTGTTTAATAGAGTGGTTTTCAGCCAGGGCAGCTTGACCTCTAGGTCTACAGCTGGACAAGGACCAAGGCTGACACTAAACATTCTGCAGCCTCTGTGCAGTGGGGCTTGAAGCCACCCTGGCAGGATTCATCCATCACAGGATATGCAGATAGGAAATTAGGTCCTGGTGGAGGAGAAGGGTCTGCCCAGCCACGTCATGGTTCTCCATCTAATAGTCTCATTAAGCATGAACTCTGCACGTCCTTAAGACTCCAAGTATGAGCCTTAGGAAACAGAGCATCCTTCCTCTCCCCTCGGAACAAGGAGGGTCTGATATACCCGACCTTGAACTTGTCCAAGGGAGGATAAAGGCAGGATGTGCAGTGGCCACCTGGGCGTAGGCTGAACTCTGCACTCCCTGCTCCATATTGTTCTTCTCACTTAACCAGACCAAAGCAAAGGCAGGAATGACTAAGGAGCTGAGTGATCTCATTGTACAGCAGAGTTTCCAAAAATAGAATCTGGAGATGGAGATGCTGAAATCACGCAGAACTTGTGGCGGCTCTCTTCCTAGGCAGTCGTTTCTCCTTTGTTGGTCAGGAGCCTTGCC